CATTATTTTCAGTCTTGAAAAAACAGGATTCCAAGACAAGATGTACCGTTGCAAGCATTAACCCCAATTCTTGGGCACTTTCCGCCAACCCAAACACATGCCAAAGCTTCCTACGTCAGGGACATGCATTTCTCTCTATTAACTGATATTAACAAGTCTGCACCATTTCACCAAGCTAGTGGCAAGAATGCGCTGTGAAGAGAAGCGACGCCAGCTCCATAAGGCCCTTCTCAACACTCTTTATCCACAACAACATGTACAATTTCTGTCGCATACAATGCCTGTAATTTTCGTTTTCTTTTTATTCGCTTTCTGAATGGATTAAATGAAATGCAGGAAACAGAAGATGGAAAAGGCCCTGTAAGCACAGCGAATGATGGGTTTGATGTTAGTCTGGTCCCAGGTTTGAGTGGTTTATGCTATTGTTTAATCAAAAGCCCTTAGTCACTTAAACACAATATTTGAGATTGTTGAGCTTTTGATTGCAGATGATTATGGGCTGCGACAGAGTGGTTCATCGACAAGTCAGGAAGATGGTGGTGGTGGTGAGGGCAGATTAGAATCGGAGACCCTCAAGTTGACTAGAGCTCAAAGGAAGAGGCAACGTCGAAAGAAGCTCAAGGAGGATATTTCTCGTCGAGGAAAAATTATTGGGCCATTGCCTCTGTCGAGCAATGACGTAGAACGTGGCTGTAGTAGTGCAGTTAAAGAAGGCAGCCCAGCTGTTCGAGAAAATGCTGATGAGGATGATAGTCATCTTAGTGCTGCTGGCAGTAACAACCTTGGTAAGAAAACTAGCAGACCTACAGACGTATTTTTTTGGGAAATAACTTGATGCTTTTATTTGTTTATGAGTTTTCTTCAGGAGGTGGTGCTAACCAGAGCAAGCTAAAGCAGAGGAGGATGGCTAAGAGGCAGGCAAGGGAAAGGTTGAAGCCTTCCATTGTGGAGACTGATGTTCAGGACCAAACTTTGAAGTCTACAACAGAGGAGACCGGTGATCAAGGTTAGAAATTGGAGTAGAAATGTCGTTGAGTAATGCCATCAATTTAATTTCCTTGTGCTGCATCGACATGCCAGAAACCAGCAAGGACGTTACTTCAGTTAACAAGTCTTTCTTAAAGCTTTTGATCTTTTATTAGCTGTTGCAACAGTGCGTATTCATTGTAGAGTGCATGGTTTCTTGGATTCTTGAAACAGATCAGATATGAACAACGCTATGATGCTAGTCCATGCAGATTGCAGACGAAAGGAAAATCAAATAAGCAGCCTCTATTCTATTGTGATAGATATTCATAGGGTGGATTCACAAGGAAACTAAGCACTGCTATGCCGTCGTCTTTCAGATCTTGAACATGCATTTCTCTCTTGACTTGATGTTGGCTTGAGTAAATTGGCTGTTTTAAGTCTTTTAATAATTTGTATCAGTTTTTTTTGTACCAAAGATAACAACTTAGTGTTGATCCTACAAGTTTTTGGACTGCCCAATCATCTAGCTGATAGTTCCTTGTAAGCTCCTTCAAAGTAGCCAATACATGCTGTGATCCTGGACTTCTAACACCATTGTAATTGAAGATTTGTGGTCCTAAACTTCTCACACCATTACTCAAAAGCTGCTCAAGACTGTACAGCCACATGGAAATTTAGCAACTTTAAAGTGTCCAGAGGCAGAATTGCTGCGATAAAAAGAGATGCTTCTTGACAAGAACAATTACAACAAAGCACATGCATGAGCAGCCAAGTCACAACAACTTAATGGAAACAGTGTCATGGCAGCCATTTTATACCCCTTTTCTTTGAACAAGAGACTTTGATTTGAACCAAAAACCACGTGTACACATCTTTCCATCTGGATTTGCAGAATAATCGTGCATAATTAAAGCATGCGGGTTAGAGCTTCTGAAAGATGGATTTAAAAGATTCAAAGACCTTGGTTCATAGGGTAGTTTTCTTCTCTTAAGATTCACAGATGGGTTTAAAATTGCACCATGTTCTACTCGAGTAGAACTGCTGCCCTTGGTTTTCCCCCTCGTAATTGCTTCCCCTCATAATTTCTCGAGAACCAAACAAATTCTCTCAATTTCAGAACAAAAATTAACGAATTGATTAACCTAGAAAGAAAAAGTCAAGAAGAGAGTAAATAGCTCCAACGAGGCCAGCAGCACTGTCAAGCTTTGATCTTTTCAAATTAAAAAATTCTCTCTCTCTCTCTGCTTTGATCTTTTCAGTTCATATGGTGTTTGAAGTAATTGAGGTTTTGGTTTTCTTCTCGCCGCGAACAACACTGTCCAGCTTCTCTCGAGCGCCACAAACCAGCAACAACGATGTGGGGTTTTTTCACTCCCACGGGCTACTATAGCCAAGGAGATGGTTTGGCTAAGAACCACTTGGTAAGGTCTTGGCGGCATGTGCTGTAGAAATTTTCGATCATTATCCCCTGGAGGCTTCATATTTCGTACAAATGAGAGCGAAACAGCGACAGGTAATGAAACACAGGGATAATTGCTGGGAAAAGGTCAGACATGAGAGCGAGAGGGAGTTGGATTACGTGCAAGTATTACAGAAACATTGCTAGAAATCTTACAAAACCTGCATTTTCTTTTTAAATTTTCAATTTCTTCTCATGGATTTATTCTATGTCTTCAACCAAATATATTTATAGTTCATTTATTTATGTATCATTACTTCTTCGCCACTTATATTTCTGTATTTAGTCCAGGGCAACAAGCAAACAAAAAAAGGATCCAAAAAGTTGAAATCAATGGAGGCTCAGACTTTATTTTGAAATGAAGAGCATAGGTTCAAAAGGTTTTGTGAATATTAATGATGTTACGAACCATCATGCTTGGACGAGAAAGCTACAAGACAAACCCGAACCTGCAGGGTAAGCATGGAGACCAATCATCTCTCAAAAGAAGGAAAAAACCTACAAAGAAATAAAAGGAGTGAATTCTGCGAGAGTCTCTTCATTTATACAGAGCTGCTGGTGAAACACAATATTCCACTGCCTTCAGCAAGACTAGTTGAGGACAACGGCTGCATGTTAATTCAACCATCCCTTTGCCAACAGAGAATATGTAGCCATGTCGGCACCAGAATGGAAGGCTTGAACCACCCTAGATAAGGTTTTCTGCCATTCAACAAAGGATTCGCATGAGCAAGTGCCGAGTACTAGAAAATCATGTATAATTCAATTTTATACATAAAAGCCACTCAGAAAACTGAGATAATAGATGTAACATCATTCTGTTCAGCTGCTCATGAACAACTAACATCCACGGCTAGAATCTTCCAGGATCGAATGATCAGCAGCAACTAACATCCACGGCTAGAATCTTCCAGGATCGAATGATTAGCAGGAAAGGAATTGGGGATTGGGATCATAAGGTAAGGCCGGTGAGTTCAGATTGCCTATTTTTCAGAAATCAGCACAATGTCAATGCTCATCTAAGGTTATGGATCTGCTATTGTATTCAAATCCAGTGATCCAAAATCCTGATGCCCAAAACATAGGCATTGTAGCAACCAACCGCAAGGTAGTCACTGATCTACCATAGGTGGTCTAAAGAAAACAGGATGTCAAACTTGGAAATCTTAAAAGGAGTAAACCCAGGATCTTAGTCCCTATAATGCCCAGAAAAGCGCCATGATTTGGTCAAGAAAATAAGTTCAAGTGGCATGCCAGCAATTCCGTTCTTTATGTGCATAAACTCACTCACTCACCCACCAAAAAAAATCATGCTTCCATCATACAAAGTCCTTGATAAGTGGAACATTATCCTTCAATCATGCACCAGTTTAAGCCCCAAAAAGCAAGAATATCAACAGACTCGCACATTGTAATGCAGATAAAGCATAAAGGAAAAGGAAACTAAAGATAAAGCAACCACACACAATAAAGAACCTCGAGATTCCCATGCTAAAAAGTGCCACTACATGTTCCTCCCTCATCGCTACTCAAATTTATGGGTTGCAAAGCCTTCAATTATGGCCATGGTGTTTTTTACTCTTTCTTCAAGGAGTAAAGCACACCATGGCCACCAAATCATTGATTAAAATTGGTCATAAAATCACTCCATGCATTCATCATTATTATTACTTTACACTACAAATAACTAATCACCATGCTATAAGGGGAAAAAAACCCAAAAAACTTCAAGTTACTCTTTCAAATTATTGTTTAAGTGCCTGTTTGTTATGTTTTCTAGCTCCAACCGCAGTTTTCACCATGCAAACACGAGTCCAAAAGGGTGTTTGGCCAAAACAACCTTGAAATTTGAATTTTTCATTGCAGAGTCACAGTATTTTTAAATCATTTTGATATAATTAATATACTGATACATTTACCATTTTAAAAAGCAACTGCAGCAAGAAATAAACCAACAAAACTAACCTTTGTTTTTCCTTCTTGTTGTAATCAATTTATTTACCAAGGCCCGTCATCAGGATAATCAAACGACGTCTCGGTGACGGTGTTAGAATCCAGTAAATCAGGGTGCACGAAACCATACTTCCTCAGCACTTGATTATCAGCAAAATTCAAAGCCTTGACCATCCCAGTCCAGCAAGTCTCCCCTTCATACATCTGATTGTGGTCCCCGCTACAAGGTTGACAGCCAGTAAAATGCGTGATAAACGGTCTTCTCCAGCTGCCTTTTCCATTCCCTGCCTCTCTCAGGTGTGGCTCTCTAAACACACCGTATTGCTCACTCACTTTCTCTGCATGTCGTCTCCTCAATTTCCCATCTTCCTTTTCTAACTCCGTGTACTTCTCCGTTATGTTATCATACGTTGGCAGTATATCTGCCCAATAACCTTCAAAATAATACTCCCCTTCTAAGTAAATCTTCTCCGTTAAACTCTTATCTTTGTAAAGCAAATATGTCAAACCCGACTGGTCGTCTGACTCAGGGAACAGTTTGTCCTTGAATACTGACCGTTGGATCTCACCCCATTTTTCATATTCTGAACTCATAGGACCCATGCTGCTCCATTTCTCCATGAAATCCATGGACCACTGACAATTTCTAATCAGAAAAACGCCAGCGTTTAAGGCGGTCCAGCTCTTCTTCTCGTAGATCAGTTTTTCCCACCCGTGAACGATCAGATTATGTTTCTTGTAATCGTAACGTTGTAACGGAAGCTTGTACTCCATGTCGGTGAACATAGCATCCGAGTCAACCCACCAAATCCACTCAGCTTCTGGGTGAGCCAACATGGCTGCTTTAACGACTGGTAGTTTGGCCCAGTAACTATGCATCTTTGGATGTAACAAAACGTTGTTGTAAAAGATATCATAACCGTGGATTCTACAATAATCAACCTTGTTTTTAAAGAATCTCAAGAGTAAATGATCACCTATTGGGTTCTTACATGGTTTTGGTTGTGATCCAGTCACAAGAACCACACGATCACGAGCACCTGGGGCAAACGAAGGGTGATGTTTAAGCCACTCTTTTCGTTTCTCGTCCCAGTTCTTGATCGGTTTCTCGATAGAGTAACTCAGCTCTTGATCGTCATAGAAGGTCTGGTCTGGTGGGTCGTAGTGTAAATTGACTTCAGGGTTTTCTTGAACGCATTCATGGGCATGGGTGTTGGCGACAGATTTCGCACTTGTTTTGGGGTCGAAATTGTGAGAAAGTGCATAGGACCAAAGTGACCAAACTAGTAAAAAAGCCAGTAAAGCAGCACCAAGATAGAGAGACCCATCACTGAAACAGGAAGAGGGTTTGGTTCTGACACTTGATTTAGCCATTGGAGAGAACTGAGACTTGCTTTGAGACAATTCTGGCGTGACCATTTTACAAAACAGCAGCTATATAGTACGACGGAGAGAAATCAGCTAGGTTAGTATTTTGTTTGGCTTGTGTTATGGCAAGTAGTGAGAGTGCAAGTTTACTGCGTAAGTAAGCTTTAAAGCACCTACCAAGCTTGAGTCCTAAATTTAGAGCAAGTTTTGGTTGGGTTTTATAGCAAATAAGGAGGCGGGCTCTGTTGTTTGTGATTAATAAAGTGAGGACTGGGGCGTAGAGAGCGTCGGTTTCATGCGCCAGGGAGGCTAAAATGCGCCGGGGTGGCTAAATTAGGTCTAGAAAGTAGAAATCACATGATGCCTCTTTCTACATTTACTCAGCATAGGTTATTTTATTTTAAATCGGATTAAATCAATTTCTTTACATCCAGTTTTTATTTTTAGAATTGTAATTGCGATTATTTTTTAAATTATTTTTATATTAAAATATATATTAATAATATTTTTTATTTTTTAAAAATTATTTTTAATATTAATATATTAAAATAATTTAAAAACACTAAAAATATATTAATTTAAACTAAATAACCAGCTTAGCTTTTGCCAGACTCTACTTTCTAAGATTTTATTTTTACTTATATTAAATTTATGTAAATTTACGTTCACACCACTAAAAAAAATTAGAAAAGACCACAAACAAAAAAACATTTTATGTGCATCATCATGTTTTGAATTTTTATCGTGCATCCGTCTCTAAGGCTCTCTAGCCACCTTAAAAGCTTTGCTATCATTCTCGAATCCGATTT